TTTCAGCTGATGAAAGGTCTACACTCTACTGCAGTTTGTGCCTTAGCATTGCTCTAACATGGATGTTGCTCTAACATCCTTTTAGCATCGAAGTGACCTTTTCTGACGGGCAAGTTATTTTTCCCAGTGACACCAATCTAAATGAAATATAAGATCACTCTGCTGTTACTCTGTATCTTTCATTTCAATGCTGATTAGCACCAAAGAGAAATATTCATTTCTACTACCTGAGATTGATATATCATTAGGCTGTGGAGTATATATACATTGATTTCTTATATCACATCTGCTCAAGAGTAGGTTAGGTTTAGCTTAAGTTACCATGGTATTCTAAACTGAGAATAGGTGAGCCACCTTGTTGCTGAAAGCACAGGGTTAAACCAGATTTTACCTCTAAGCCACAAATCCCACTTTATTGTACTGAGCTCAGGTGGTGACCTGCAGTGGAATATAAGAGAGGAAGTCTGTAAACATAAATCCAGTCTGGCACCTGAGCCTGTCTCTGTTTCTTACTGCTATCAGAGCTACAACCACTGCAAATGTCTCATATCTTCAAGTCAGTGGAGCATTGATCTCTTCAGGCCTACAGGCTCTCTCTGCCTCTAAAGGGCCCTCCCTCTGCCTCTTCTCTCTGCTGTGGTTTGGGTCAAACTTCAACCTGCTGGCTCAGTTTTCTGCAAAAGAGAGCTTGAAACCAAGGAATGATTAACATTCTAGATTTGAGTCAATTTCAGTTTTATTTTCCCATTTTGCAGCGGAGAGAGCCTGACAGGAGCAGGTAGGAAGTTCAGCCCTGCAGCACACATCGTTGACACTAACCTGGGCTGCTGTAGCAGATTCAGGTTTCACAGGGATTTTGCTGTGTTGGCCAGCCTCTACTTCCTGTTTGCACTAATAAGACCCCGGGGGCTCATTGGCTGAGCTCAGTGTAGCAGCACACTGATATTGCGCTAATCACCAGTGACCCGCATGACACTTTAAACCTTATAGATCTGTCAGCGACCTGCACTCTCAGATTACACTCAACAGCCCGCCAGTCATGCTGATTTTATTCAGCGCTCATGAGGGCAATGATGTGAGTTCGACAGAAATCTACAGCCGGTATTCTGCATGTTAGTTTATTTTTCCCTGTTAGCTGCTAATACTCTTCCCCTGAAGACATCACGTCTGCTGAATCCTGCAATGAGCAACTGTATCATGTCTGGCAGCAAGAAGTCAATATGTTTGTTCGGTTTGTAATTCATTTGCTGGATAATGTATCATTTGGGATTCAGCGTGTCGATGTGGCACATTTAGTTGGTGCAGCCTGCACTTAAGCAGCTATATTGATAAATCATCAGCTCAAATAATGGGTTTCATTGTGTGCAAGTCATGAGCAAAAACAGGTGATGTTTCGTCTTTATGAAAGGAATCAATAGCTAATGACAACTCTCTTAAACTTTTAATGCACTGCTTTCTATGAGTATTTATACAGATGCTCGCACATCTGTTTGTGGTTGTATATCTCTGAACATAACAGAGATACAAAACTACATACAGATAATAAAAGGGGGAAAAAAAACCAACAATGGAAATATGTTCAATATAAAATTCCTTACATTGTGAGCCAGTGCTGTATAACATTTAGGCTTATAAAGAGAAGGATTTACGAACACATTTTAGTACTGGTTATGGATATTTATACAAAGACTGATTTCCCTTTTTGTCTCGTAAATGATCATGATTAATTAATCCCTTTTATGTCTTTCTTTATGTTTACTGCTATTACAGCATAATCTTTCTAATAATACCCAACTTTAAAAATGGTCAAAAACTGGAAATGAACACAGGAAAATTGCATGTTATGCGATAAAATGATATCAATAGCCTCCTTCACATGTGCCTTTTTGCACCAGTATGGATGTGCTTGGTGAATTGTGTCATGTGTGAAAGCACAGAGACAGAGGCAGGCTTCAGAGTTAATCATTACTTACAGCCACGATCACTATGTACGAAAAAATTGCATTTCAAGGAAAACAAGAATAGAGAACATACAATTGAGAAAAATACCAGCAGTGGAATGGTTTCTGGGAAGCACTACACCACACACCTATATTTGACAAGTACCTTAGCTTGCGTATTGTTTGACAAAGACACAGATGAAAAATCAATTCTAAAAAACATGATAGTGGCTTTTTCGCTTCTCTCTAGTTATTCAAAAGATGTGGTCCCTAAATCTGACTTTTTATTGCTGAGCTCTGTACTTCACTGTATCATTTAACAGAGAATTAGTGTTTAGTGCTTATGTCCCAAATATTTATGGAACTGCCATATGCAATGTTTTACTAATTAAGACTTTACACGCAAAACATGTGATGACTTTCTACAAAAGGATTCATTGTTACAGAGTGAACTACTCTGCCTCTTAAATAAAATTAGGCCCACCATGACTATCTGCAGAAACACAGTCCCATTTGTAACTGTGGAGTAGTCATATAACTTTTGATACCTAAACCACATTTTGCAGACTGAGCAGACTCCATATGCAGCTGGAGATGTTTTTTGCTCGCATTAACTGTGATCTCTTACGTGCATTACCGACTTGTGTCACCGCTTTCATTCTAATAAACTAACCAGCTTACGGTAAAATGATTCTGAATCTTGACGATTTAATGCTGCAATTTTTTCAGGATAGCCTTTTAATTAAATTAGCTTCAAAAGCTGTTTCAGCACTGGGTTTATGCGTACATTCCTTCTGAAGTCAGGCACCAGAAGTTGAGAGAGTGCAGGGCACTGTGTGTGCATGTCTGTGTTAGTGATTGTTCTATCCTGGAGTGTACACTATTGCATAATGCGCCCACTGTAACATTGTGTAATATCTTCTGATAAGAGAAGCAAAAAGTCTCCCAGAACAGTAACAGTACATCCACATCCTGCACGGCATGATATAAGCAGTGATAGATGTATTGGCTGTATGGTGCCCTTTGTAGAAACACTAACAGCCTTTAGTGGAACAGAAGCAGTTTACTCTTCCCCATGAATGCATCTACAATTTTGCTCTCTGTTCCTTATAAATGCACAGCAGTTTAAAAAAAAAAAAAAAAAAAGCCCCTCTTGAAAGCTGCAAAGATGAATCTGCGCATTGTGATAACATCTCCAAACTTCTTGCAGTTGAGAACAGGGATCCAGCTCAGATTTCTGTCTTTCTTGGCTCAACTGCCAGTTTCACACACGTGTGCGTCCTGTGATAGTGGGTGAGGTTTCCACTGAGGAGAGGTGAAAGGGTAATCTGATTCCAGCAGCTGACAGAGCCGCACACTGACTGGATATCCAACTAATTCTGTTAGACAAACACAAATTGTGTCACTGACACAACCGGCTTGAATAATTCATAACCTGATGCTACTCCCAGTGCTATCATTTTGCAGGAAACTGTCACGGCATGGGGGAGAGAGCAGGAAGCTGGAATTCCTTCTGTCTGACTTAGTCTCTGATCTTTGTTTTGGTGATTGCGTTCAAACAGACAACTCCCTTAGAAGGTCAGATATCTTCCTTGTGTAACAAAAGGGAATAAAATTAGCAAGAAATCGCAAATAAAATAGCAAAAAATTACTTTGCTTGAATTATTCCACTTTTATTGCAGAAAAATGATTTTCTTCCTTAATATTATTTTTTGTTTAATCTCATTTTAGTAATGCACAATAATGATCTTTTCAAAATGTAATTTTGAAGTAGTCCCCCCCTTTACACACTCTTAAACACACACCTTTGGAATCAGCACCTCCACAGAGGAACTTATAATGGACCATTGTGTGCCATGTGGTCACAGGAGCCAGAACACTGAAAGCCAAATTAACTTTCCTTCTGAGTGACTCTTGAGTAAGCTGAAGCCATTGGGTTCATACAAGTTTCAAATTCATGTGTGCTCCAATGAGCCAGGGCAGTTGAGACGTGTTTAAAGGTGTTGCTTTTTGGTTGAGTGAGCTGCAAGATGCAGTGAAATCTAATCTGCTCAGAGTGCAGCTGCCAGGGCCTGAAAAGACACAAATACACAATCAAATTCTTCAGGGATTTGACAATTGTTTGCCAGTTTCTCTGAATATTGGTTACCAAAAAAAAATGTTTTTAAAACCCTCGACAAGCAGTGTTCTTCTGACTTTTCAGTCTATGGAATTGTCCTGATCACAAGCTAAAGCTACCCTAAAGCATAGGAGACAACATAGAAGACATTCATGCACCATCATAATCATTAATCGTGCATGAAACAATCACTGTTGCTTAAGAGGAGAAAGACTCCATGTTCCAGAGCTGTTTGTGTGATTGTGTTGCATTTGATTCTGAGAAATAAAGCTGAGGGTGTTGATATGCTTGATTGGTTCTTGTTGATATGATGCTAGCGGTGACACGGTCTAAGACGCATCAACAACTATGACGTTCAAGTCTACCACTCAACAATAAATGTGCATTTTCTGTATATTCTGTTATTGTTTTTTCGGGGAGATATTGCTTATATCAGCAAGACAATGTCAAACCATATTCCGGACAGCAACACAACTTTAAAGGAAGAGCCCTAGAATTTAGTTAGATAATCTTATTTAAGCGGTTTGAATTCTCTACACAAGGAATTTAGCATCTTTGCCTTTTTATTATTTCTTCTAGAGTAATCAACACAGCACTGTCTTCTATGAATCAAAGGAGATAACTCCTTCTAAGTGGATTTACCGGCCAGAATCACTGATTTGAGTATGCTGTTTGTGAATAAATATAAGGACCCTCAACAGACTGCGACTTCAAAATATTTTACTTTTATGTGCTTTGTTCCTTTTTCATTTGGGACACTTGATGAAATATTACAGCTTATTTTACTGACATAACGAAATCCCCATGTAACAGCATGGTTGTGTGTGCTACTTCATTAGATGATGTTGTTTAAGCTACAATGTCGAGCAGCTTGAGAGTTTGCAGGACTTTATGTAACTCTTCTCTGACCCTCAATAACGGATTGATTGTTTGTGTACAGGGAGCCTGATATTCCATCGTGGGCTCCTATTCTCTACCAACTACAGCTGCTGGAGTTCAGAGACAAACCAGACCCGTTAACCCTATCCATTGCTGATCGTATCCGCATTGGCAACCAGAAACGAGAGCGTGGCAACTTTCACTTCCAGAGGGAGGAGTACAGCCTGGCTGCCACAGCTTATCGCGTTGCCCTGGAGGTGCTGACCACACACAGCAGAGGTAAACCCTGCATCAAAACCCACATTCATCCATTTTCTATACCCTCTTAATCCAATTCAGGGTCAGAGGGGGGCTGGAGCCTATCCCGGCTGCCCCTGGGCAAGAGGCCGGGCATGTTCTTCACTTGTTGCCAGTCCATCATACAGATGAACAACCAGTCACATCTAGAGATCATGTAGAAAAATCAATTAACCTAACACGCATATTTTGGGTGGGTGAAGGAAACCGGAGTACCCAGAGAGAACCCATGCAAAGGGCAGAACATACCAAACCAGAATCACATTACAGAGATACTCACCTCAACTCCTGTTCCAACAGAGTAATTACAGCTCCCTCATGCAGAGCCAAACCCTGCAGAGCACCCTGTCACCATAAATGTTTTGACTTAATATGGCAAATAATCAAAGCCAGTCAGCTTTCTTACTATTTCCACCTCCTTAATCCGCTTTAATCAAAGACAGGGCAGAGCAAATGTGGCTGAACAAGTCAGTGAAAAGACAAACATGAACTGCCTCATAATGTATCAATGATGGCAAACCAGTGAGTGAATTCATTTTAGAGCTTAAGAAAAGAGGTCATCAAAGCATTTCGATCTTGTAATTAGTGAATAAGAAGGATGAAAGCAAAATACACTCCAACATTTCACCTCAAATTGGATCAGAATTGTGTTACAAATATGACAAAATGAGAGTGTAAATTAAGGTGATTGATTAACCGACTAAATGTGTATATCTGCAGTTTCATTTCCTACAGGTGAGAAAGTAAATTTTGAGAGGAATGAGTGATAAACCTTGAAAAAAACATCTGTTTATATTTCTACCACCAAACATGAAATAAAAGTTTTAGTTGTGAAAAAGAATGACTTGTTTACATTATATTTTTCTTTGTGATACTGATGCCAAGAAATGACTTATGTTTGATATACAGGTTTAGCATAATTATAGAATAAACAGGCATATCAAAAAGGGGACATATGGAGCATAAGTGTTGTAGCTGACCTGAAGCTAACTTCCAACTAAAATTTGTAGAGGAGCCACAACTTGATATTAGGTTTTATTCCCTTCATTCTAAAAATATGTCATTTAGTGAGCCAATAGGAGTTTAAAGGTTAATTTATCTCACATTATAAAGTAAGCTTTCCTCCTCCCTCCATGCATCCCTCCTTTTGACATTATACTGCCTTACCTTATCTTAGCAATGGTAAGTTGAAACTCTCATTTTTGCTTTTTGCTCGGATGTTAACATCAAAATACCTTATTTTTTATGTAGTTCACTTAAGAACCACATTAACTGAGACAGTTTCACCTTAACTTTAATGCTCTTTATAGGGAAAATCAGATTCGTTCCCAAACAACAGAACACAACAACATTTTTTTTACATGCTTAAATTTTCCATTAGAGGGAAGTAGATATTCCATTTTCCCATGAATGATTTTATTTGTCATCAGTACAGCAGTGCTGGCCACAAATGCCTATGAATTGTTGCCCACAGTCATAACACTTCTTGATTAATAAAAAACAAAACAAAACACAAAGGATGGGAGTAACAGTTGTTTGTGTTATTAACTAGCCAGCCTCCACTGTGAGTCAGCTCTTGAGCATACGAGTACGAGCCAGTGAAGGCCAAACTGCAGATGAGGAAAGTATAAGTATTTGGAAATGGAATTTAGCTCTCAGGCGTAGGTTATTAAAAGGAATATTTTTTTATGACAGCTCTCATAAGGGGCAGACTCTCAGAAAAAGAGGGGTAGAGGGGGGTCAGGGGGTCACCTCAAGTGGTAAATCAATATCGATAGCTGTAAATCGATACGCTTGAATAGAGTTGCAAAGTAATAAATGGTGCAGTGTTTCTTTGTGCTGTTTTGACGAATGCCTGTCCCAGACATTTTGTCATGACTACAAAATTTGTCAGCTCTGCTGTGTTCCTGTCTCCCTTAAACCTGATAAATGGAAATCAGTTATATAAGAAACAGTCATTAAGCTAACAAGCTAAAGCTTATTCACACTCCAGCGTGTGATTTTACCTTTTGGGAAACTTACTGAATATACAGTACAGTGAAACTTCCATACCCACAAATGTGATCCAGAAGCCCCTGAGCTGCTAACATTTATTACCAGCCAAGCTCGAGGTCAAGCATAACTCATCATTTGCACTAACAAGTTCAATACTTTGTTCCCTTTCTATTCAGCTGGACGTGTTTTTAATAGTGAAACCATGTAGGAGTAGAAATACAATATACAGCTGAATAAAGAACAGAACATTAACCAGCTTCATAATGACACCCACTGGGAGTCTCTCCTTCAAGGGTTTAAAAAAAAAAAAAAAGGAATTTAAGACCAATCATCAAGAGAAGTTCAGCTACCCGTGGCAAACATGAATTAATTTTCTTCTACTCAGTCGACATGAATACCTAAAAAAAAAAGAGGAGACAAAATGAATCGGATTCATCCTGAAGTGTCCGGGTACAGCAGGGCATGTGTGATGAGTCATGCGTCTGTCTTTGTCTGTGCAGATGGCAGCGATGTTGGCGTGCAGGCAGAGGAGGAAGAGGTGCAGGAATACCGGGTGAAGTGTCTGAACAACCTGGCCACCACTCAGCTCAAACTGGAGCAGGTTGATGAGGCGCTGCACACCAGTCGAGATGTCCTGACCCTGGAGCCAAACAACGTCAAGGCCCTCTTCCGGGCGGGAAAGGTGAGGGCCTCGTACGTTGGCGTAATCACCCAAAGACGACACCAAGCATCTCATTTGATACTTATCTACATGTAAACGATGACTGCACAGATGGCTACTGAAAGGGCGAGTAATGTGTTTGATAAGGGACAAAAACAAAAAAAATTGGAAAGGAAAAAACAAAAGATGCAGGTACGCTGCAGCTTTATCCTTCGCGTTTTGATTTATGTGGGCTTCAGGAGTGTTCACACTGCAGGTCTTCTAATCTCTTACAGCTGCTGTCAGACAAGGGTGAATACAAAGAGGCCATGGAGGTGCTAAAAAAAGCACTGAAACTGGAGCCAGCTACCAAGGTGAGATTATGTGGGTGAGAAGGTCCTGCGTCTCAGTTTCTTCCAAATCTGTGTATGAGGCCCACACACACTGTATCCGGTTGAATGGGTGTTTGTTTTTGTTTTTTTACTTCTCCTTATAAGATATTGTATTTCTGCCCAATACCAAACAGTTAACACATGATATAACACAGAAAACCCAAAGCTATCACCTTATGTATTGAACAAAAGATACTCAAAAAAGGCAAATCATGTCTGACCTCTAACCTTACTGAAGCTCCTGAGTGTTCAGCTATATATATCCAATTGACTCGCTGTGTTTGTTTTCATATTATGCAATAGCTTTAAAAAAAAACTAGAACTATTTGTTAACTGTGCATCTCCTCTTTGTCAACTGCGTGACTGTGAAAAATTTGATGAGCAGTCTTTGCTTTTGCCAGAAGTGATCTTAATGCACCGCCTCCGTTTAAGGTTTAAGACTTGTTGCATCTTGTCTGTACGATTAGCCTAATCTGCCAAACGCTCCCGAAAAACTCCAAACTGCACATGTGGGTGTCTACAGATGTGACAGCTCAACAGAGCTACTGGCAAAATTACTTTGAAACCCTAGTACTAAAAAGTAAAAAAGAGCTCGAGTCTTCTTTTCCAACAACAGAACACACTCCATACTGTATAATTGAGTCAACCGCCCAGAGAACTGCTCATCAAAAGAAAGGTCAACAAAAACTTCAATTTGTGGCCTATATTTTAGTCGAAGGGTTTGAAATAGTGCAGACAGTGAGGAATATGTTCCCATCAGTTGTTTACAAGCCACTGCAACCAGCATTACAGTGACCTGACATACAGGGCACGCTGCCACCTCCACAAAAATATCTGGTTTTGTCTAGACAAAACAAAAATATCTGCTGCTCTGGAAATTACACCATTGCCCCATTGGTGAAGTAAATACTTTGGAGAGACCTGGTTAAACTGCTCTGTGGGAAAGTTATTGTGCTGCAGCCTCCAGTTTTTCCAGTGTGCACACTTCTTTTGTCGCGTCGCTAAAGAAAATGACATGTTTTCCGATTACCTCCAGTGTACAATGATGGAACCAGGAAATTTGTTTGGCATTTATAGAAATAAAAATGTCACTGAAAAGCCTTTTTTCCATTTCAGACTTCTGCTCTCCTCTGCTGGGTCATTTTGGAACTACAGCTTAATCTTTTTCTCTTGATAGTAGATCTAAAGGAAGCACCGTTTTAATATTGTTTTTCATTCTGTTTAGGCGATCCATGCCGAGTTATCAAAACTTGTCAAAAGACAATCCGGAGGCAAAGACACGCAGCAATGGAAAGCAAAACCGGCAGAGATGCTTGGAGAGAACATTGCACCTTTCCTAATTCCTTCCAAGAAGAAACCATCTGTAAGAACTCACACAGACATAACGCATGCAAGTACTGTTTGGCTTTGATGAACAAGGGACTTTAACACACTGTATCATTGTACATTTTAGGGAATTTCCTGGAAGTTCATACTGGGGGCTTTGGTGGTGGCCTTGGGAAGCTTAATGACATCAGTTGTTCTGACAGCAAGAAACTGAAAACCTCTGCAGGAAGTAACCATCATGATGCACAGGAGCCCTTTGGTCTCTCTTCCTCTTTCATCAGGTTTTCACTGTGAGAGCAACAGAGCTGAGCAGGGGCCTGAGCTTGTATCTAAGCGAGTTTCAACAAAAAGTGGGGAGTAGAATCCAGTAAATTTTCCTCACCAGCAGAGGTTTCTGCTGATCAAAACCACACGTATTAGATCGTCTTCTCAGGTCAGTTTTATTTGATGGAAAGAGGTTACCATTGTTGTCTTGGATGTTCTGCTACCACACATGCTCAAAAAAAAGAAAAAAAAAAGAGTGGTAGTTTTGTAAAGACTGACCAAACAGCTAAACAGTTAGTAAATAAAAAAAATATACATTTGGATCAGCACAGGTGTTAAAATTGCAATGATGCTTATCAAAATAAACACATAAAGTTGTTCAGAGTGTACTTTTGTTTTCTATCAGAAATGTACCTCTAGGTAGAAATGCGGGCTATAATCCCTCCTGAGAAAAAGAAAAAAAAGAGACAAAGAAAGAAATGCTCTCTAATGTATTTATGACATAAAAAACTACTTTACTATTACTTTGCACATAAATATAAAAGTTCAAATATATACAAACTTTACTATAAGATTAATACAGTTGTCCATCTACAGAAACCTTCATTTTAATAGTATTCAAATTTCAGTGGTGAAAAACAAAGTTTAAAGTTCAAATTTCCCCAAAACACTGTCTGTTCTTCACTTAAAAATAAAAGCAGTATGATTTCCTTCCACGGTCCACGGTGCATGGACAGACAGAAGTCGTCTACACTCCACAGCAGCCGTTGGTCTTCTTTGGGTTGGTTCGACTCAGATTCACCTCAGATTGTGATTGCTGCCTCAAATGACAATTTTTCTTTACTTCTCTATGGGGAGGTGAAAGTAAGCGTTGAAATAATATCGTGCATTACATAAATATATAAAACTCAAACCCTCTCCTACCTTGCTAGATGAAGCACTGCCTCCACAATGTTGGTTCCATCTTTGGCACTCGTTTCACAGAATAAAGCACCATAGGTCTGCAAGCAGAGCACCGGACACACTAAAGTCAGTCTATTTACGCATGCATTAGCATTGTTCCTAAAAAACAGTACACACCTTGGCCAACTTTTCCCCGTGCAACCTGCTCACACATGTTCCTGCTGGAAGCTGCTCCCGGCGATCCACCTTGTTTCCGATAACACATATGGGGATTTTTGCGTTGTTTGAATCCTATGGGAAAACGAGAGAAGTTGTTTATGATGGCTCTGGTTTCCGTGGTTGTAGAAGTCTGTAATTCCTTTAAAATTTCATAAGCAAGTTACCTGAATCTGATCCACCCAGGATCTAACATTGAGGAAGCTGCTCTCTGAAGTAACGTCATAGAGCAGCAGGACTCCGTCAGCTTTACGGAAATAAGACCTGGCAATACTACGGAACCTAAAGTTAAACATAGACATAGCTCTATTTATAGTAAACAATACAATATGACTGCATATTTAGACTGCTGAGATAGCCATGTTTTTTTCATTTACTACTTCCTGGAGCAGTGTCAGAGGAAGTGGCCTACCTCTCCTGCCCAGCAGTGTCCCATATCTGCAAACTTGTTGTATCTCCATCCACCAACATCTTTTTAATCTGGAAATCAACCCCTGAGAACAAAGAATTTAAGAGATTATAGGAAAAAAAATGTCAGTCCATGTTAACTTGTTTTGTTCCCTCTTTAGAAAAAAAGGGTGTTTCCCAAACCACTGGGAGTAATGTCTGCTTTAAATAACATGAGGGAAAATAAAACAAAATGCTAACCAAGCTAAATGAATCCAACAATCCATCTATAAGAACACACGTATTAAAAGTGATGCATACCCAGTGTCGTCTGTATATCCCTTCTAAACTCATTGAGGGTCAGTCGCAGAAGAAAGCTGGACTTTCCTGCTCCTGAGTCTCCTGCTAAGGCCAGACGGTACATTGGGGTAGGTTCCATCGTCTCTGAAATGTCCTCTTCCATCGGCTGTATAGGTGGAACAAAATAATATACTTAATCTATATATATAATAATATATTATTATAATATATATAATTCAAAAATAGATTTATTGTGAGTCAAAGAATCAAAATGACTAGATCTAACAACAAATCCCGGCTGAAGGACTACAAACATCGACTGAAACAATTGTGAAGAGCTTGGACACAGAGTTTGCATTTCAGTGTTTATCTTTGACTGGTCTTATCAGAATACTTCCACAATGTTAAAACAGGAATATAAATCCTCCCCCTAAAAACAAAGAATACTTGTTAACCATGCGCCCTGAAATCTGATAAACACATACACACACACACAATAAAAAACTGGTAATATTTACCTTTGGTGGGAAGGCAGAGAGGCGCCTTCGTATGGAAGAATTGATGGAGCTTCCTCTGCTAGGAGCTAAAGACACTTCAGCATCAGATTTCACCTCTGAGATCTGTAGTACATAAAATGTTTTTAAGCCCTTAGAAAACTGTGTTTTTACATCTTCATTCCCCCAAAGACAGCAAAGCATTTGTGCACCCACCTCAACATCAGATGGGACGTCGGAGTAGCTGTGGTGGACAGTCTCCACAGAGTTCTCGCTGTCGTCACTGTCAAGTTCACTATTCGAGGTTTCCGCCGTATCCATGGGCAGAGAGATGCCGCTGTCCAGGTACCGGTCAGCCCAGGTGGCCACATGGGAGATCCTGGGATTGTGCTCCGAGCTGCACCGGCACACACATTGGCTTAAGACCAAAATAAAATTACCTGCAGAGCCACCCCGGGGGATGAAGGCGGTAAATGTACCTGCCATGGTTAAGCGTGCTCTGGCGGAGAGGTCTCATTTTTCGGGCTGGAACTTCATTTTGGGGGGATAGCTGTGAGGCAGATGAGAGAAGGCATTGTGGAAGATTCTCTTTTACTCTTGAAAAAACGAAAATGGCAGCTTATGTCAAGACAAAGCACATGGGTGTGGGGTGTGAACAAACGAGGAACCTACCCTTCTTTTAGCTACAACCACTTCACCGGCTAAGGATGAACGCAGTCCATCATTACTGTCATACAGCTTTTTATTCGTTTCCCTGACAGTGTTCGATGAAGAAAAACAAAGTCAGACACGAGGACAATTGTTTCTATCCTAAACAGCCTACTAGCATGTTATTGAAAGTTGGTACTGGGGTCTACAGATAACCGTAAATCGTGTAACAGGGTTAAAAAAAACACAACAAAGCAAGAGCTAAACATTTGATTCTACTAATTGTTTTCTGTTATAATAAAGGTACCTAAATACTACAAACCTAAGAAAAAAAACCCGATAAAATACATGATAAAATTTCAAAGACAGACTCACTGCAGGGCTTGAATTTGGCTCGAGTACGACTCGTACTCCACGACCATCCTCTTCAATTCATCGGTTTCTCTGGAAAAACATGGATGTGTATCATACTGAGCGCCGTGCATCTGGCACCTGAGGAGTTTAAAGTCAGGTTTTACCTCTCATGTTGAGCTCTCTGATCTGCACACATGTTCTTGAGCTTGTCCATCTCGGCGTGCAGGATGGCGATGTTTGTTTGGGCTTGCAGCAGAGAGCTTTGAAGCTGCTCCTTCTCCTGGAAAGACACTAGGTTGTTTACACTTCTACAAAAAGCATACTGGGTGGGTTTCATGTGAAGCACGACATACCTGTAAAAGATCGCTGATGCGTTTGGTCAGACTGATCATCTCCTCCTTTGACTTGTTCATCCCCGAGTCCTCCTGACTCTTAAAAATAGTCAACAAAATCATTTTATCTTTTTTGACAAAATTATTTGTTGAAAAAAGAAACACACAAATCAAAAAAGCAGCACATTAACCGGCAGTCTCAGATCAAATTCCTAAACTTACAGTCTGTAATCAGTTTTAGATTTATAAACTGTAGAATAACCCTGTGTAATTTTGCATCTGCATGGTCGTTTCCCAGTGCTGTGGCACTTTTTCCTAGACTATCCCATGTGTTTCGCAAATCTGGCTCTGCTCAACAAACAAAATGCTAAGTGGAATAGTGCAGCCTATTGGCAGTAAGAAAAAGCAGATCAAAACCTTTTTAAATATCAGGCAGGTTTTACTGTCAGTAGCCGCCATCTACAGGACAAAGACAGCAATTGCGACCTCAGACACACAAGTCACCAGGACTACTTTCCTTACTCTGCATTACAGATAGGAAGGTTTGTATTTTATTCCTAATAAATCAAAAAGTTATACTAAGTAAGAGACACACATGCTTGAGCTGACAATTTTTTTGTGCCTTCCATTTATGCTACCATTGTCATGATAAATCAAAGTGACTTTTTTTGTTGTTGTTCTTTTAGGAGGGTTCAGTGCAATAAAAAACTAACTACCATAACTACATAGAGAGGTCATGTTTTAATACTGTGACAACTCTATTTTTTTGTGTCTGTAGGATGTCTCTCCAGCCAGTATGCAAAAATATAATCAGTGAAACGGGAATAACTCATGTGCCATTGCACCGGATGGCGTGCCGTTTTTAAAGCAGCTCACACGTAAACAAATCGGTTTCTTTTGGGTGTTTTATACTGACTGCATGGGAATTTTTCCAAGTAGGATTTTATACAGATAAAATTGTGTACAAAACTAACTCCAAAACGTTTGCATATCTACATTTAGCCATATGTTGTGTACAGTCAGCTTGTTGCAGCGGTCCTGCTTTTTCTGCTGGCTCTCGGCAAATGAGGATGCACAGTATTTAGGGTTTGATGTGCATTTATACTATGTTTTCACAGGCTTCATAAAAAGTGAATTTTTGGTTTTAGTTCATTAGGTTTATAAATTAAGTCCCAGCTTCAACCTCGAGGAAACCAGTCTTTCAGGTATAGTTACTGGCTTCCCCCTTTCTGTCTGGTTGAACAGAGCGTTTCCAGAGAGAACAAACCCATGCTCGCTGTCTGTGAAAATCTACCTTTAGGAGTCTCTCCACCGTGGCATGCAGGTCTGCAACCTCTTCCTCATGCTTCCTCTGCATGGTCAACATAACGCCGTCCATTTTCCTCCGCTCCTACAGACATGAAAGCGCAGCAGTTCGTGGCTAAGAGCCTAAAGAGAGTCTTTCATTCGACACTACAGAGGCTCTTTGTGAGCAGAGACGTGACCTGCTGCTGGCTGCTGCACCACAAATACACAGGCATGTCCAACAGAGTAGCACACGTTTACTTCAATAGGATGGGTGATTATTCTAATATTCCAGCTTTTATCATTCACCCTTATGTAGTTAATGGTGTATCAAGACAAGAGATGCTCATGAACTCCAGAATATTCTCCACTCACCTCGTCTCTCACCCGCTCCTCTGTTCTCGTAAGTTGTTGCTGAATGTCATCTTCCAGCTCAGCCAGCTGACTGTTATTCATCTCCTCAGCTCTGTTTGAACAAAAACGATAGTCACATTTGTGGTGAAGGCTTCACAGCTGCTAAATAAAGCTGCTTCTTCCCCAACAGTGCAAAAGAAAAGAGTACACTTGCATATACTTTGTATCAGCATGTCAGATCTACTAGACAGATTTCAACTAGCTGCAGAGATGACTGGCTGGATTTTTGCATTGTGTGACTCGGTCAGAAATAGTTGTGGGAGGGACAGACTGAAAAAGATTCCTCAGGTTCATCCATCTTTGACACTGGAGGTTTTATATTTATGCATTTGGCAGACGCTTTTATCCAAAGCGACCTGCAAAGCAGACACAAAGTTACAGTGGGTCCCACCACATTCCACAATTAAGAGCAGGTTTTATGAGGGGGAGGGTTCACATGTACTTAGACACACAAGGCGTGAAAATCTTGTTGATAACAAAAGGACTTAAACCATAGGGCAGGGCAGCACATTTAAGTCTTCCTACTTCCTTAAAGGAGGAATGTCACCTTTCTCATGCTATGAACAAAGTCTACCACAGAGACTCAAAGCAAAAACTCACTCACCTCATCTCATGTACAGGCAGAGCTCAAAACTACAACTATGTAGTCAGATTTGAAAAGAAAAAAAGAGCTAAAGAAGCATCTGTGTGTCAAACATGCACCTGTTTCCTCATTGTTCACATCCATTCAGCAGAAAAGCAGGAAAGAGTGACAATAAAGGAGTAAATGCTCAATCATTTCCTCAAAGCCTCCACCTTGACAAGGTGTGAAATAAGTTGTAAACATGATGGGGTACTACAATCTGTGGTCTAATTCATTGTGTTCAGAGCGGTGTGCTAAACTCGAACACACAAATAAATACAATAGAAATGTGCAACATGGACAGCTAAGGATTTGTTACTAGATCTGATGTCACCTTGTTTAACTGCTCCAAACTGCTCCACAAAGTTGGGAACATGGGATCTCTTAGAAGTGTAATCTCTTTCACTGAAACTAAGGGGCAAAGCTCGGCTCCTAAAACCAAAACATATTATAACCATCACAAAACGCAGCGCTTGCCACAGTCCAGTCAGACATGGACCGTTCTCCAGCTACCCCCAAACCCAGACTCGTCCATCAGATGGAGAAACACGATCCGTCCCTCCACAGAAAGCACCTCAAACGGCTCATGTGAGGCATGTTCTTATTTGATGAATTACTTAGCATGTCTCCTTGACCAATTCATATCCAATTATTTCATCAGTGATATGGTTCAGTTAGGGTTCATATGAATTTGTTGGATCAAACTTCTACATGACAATATGCTGATGTGAAAAACTTTTTATCAATTTCCCATTTTGTAGATTTTTCAAATGTCAATATATGAAAACTATATAAGGGACTGAAGCTCATATTTAACCCTGATCAGGTTTAAGGAAGAGGAAAAAAAAGGGTGAGGCGCTTGGAAATGCCACCTCATTTAAGACTAGTGGATGCCAGTGGATCTTTTTTTACACCGTTTCCTCAAGACAGTCTGACAGTACAACTCTACGTTCCAGGGGAGTGTTTCTATTTACCAGGCAAACAGCATGAGTGTTTCCACTTTGTTAGAAAGCCAGTGTGCGAGCACCAGTGGGCGGAAACACCGACTGCAGCAGGAACTGTTACAAAGGCACTTTTGAGATGTTTTGTTTAGAGTACCAACTTGAGAATGACACAACTGTGCAAGAAGCAGTCACTAACTTCTCAGGTTTGTAGCAGAGATAAAAAAAAAGGTTGAGTTCAGTTGAGTGGGATGACTGACGTTCATAGACAGATTATCTGGATTTTTTATATCCACATTGGCTTGTACTCTAGTGAAATTCCCTAAAATGTAACAAAACCCAGCTATTTCAAAGCTACATAGGTCAACATTTACTGCTCACGATTCAGTAATCAGACTTTTTTTTTAACATCCCACCAACTATATGCTTTTATCTTGACTCGTCTTTTTTTTTCCATTTCTCACCGCTTTAAACTGGTCTCCAGCTGTTCACACTCTAGTTTGCTGTCCAGGCTTTGACTGAGCAGAGAGTGGATGATTTCTTCATATGCCTGCAGAAGAGCCGTGTTTGCAGAGGAGTGAATGGTCATGTACAGATCAGCCAGCTGCTCCTTGAGACTATAAGGACAAAAACAAATATTTACAGTCCGCACTGATATAGCCATTTCACAGTCATTTCTTCAACAAGCCGATTCCCTCCCAACCAACAAAGATTATTCAACAAAATTTTGCTAAATACATAATCAAAACTTTTGTTATACAAATTACCTCACCACTTGAAATCATGTTGAAAAAGGAGAAATCTAGTTCACATTTATCAAATTAAGCCCCTTCTGGATATACAGACCTCAATAATAATTCCATAGCTATAACAAAATGGAAAATTTAAGAGAGTTCTACCATTTTTGCTTTCAGAGACTAAGAAATAAAATATCCCACAGTGGAATTAATGGTGGACAGCAAAAACTAATGATAAATGTTTTTTATTTTTTTCCCTCACATCTACACCTGCCCTAACAAATGCCTGCTTACTTCTCCTACGCTTGTTTGCAAGAATACATTTGCAGTATTAAAACTATTGCAGTCTTCAACAGTCATGTAATAAACCTTATCTCTGTGGAGGCAATAATAAAAGGAGCTAGTGTAATTTCAGTCTTCTGGGAGGTGAAGTTATTTTGTTTGTTTTTTTTAAATCAAAGAAATTAGCATTTTCTCAGCTACTTTTTAGTTATTTATTTATGAAAGTGCTTTTCAATTGGCACAGTAAAGAAGTAGAATGGATATTATCGTTCATGGATTCACTGTTTAAGGTTGTGTTTTTGGTGGTCTTTGCTTATTGTGGTGTGGTTTAACCTTACTTAGACTCTACAATTATGTTTACATGTAAATTTAGAGGCCATCCATGTTGGTTTCTGCTCTGACTAATGGAACTGTAGGACAGCTTAAGGCATGGCTCAATATTCAAGGGAACAAGTGCATATTCCCTTGAATATGAAATATTTTTAAACCATTGGTAAAAATAAAAAAAATCTTTAAAAAACACTTATCACCCTTGGTGTATTAGATGATTTTAGTTTTTGGACACTTAGACAAAAAACAATTCATGGGGTGTCAGCTTTAATTTTCCTTTCTTTACTTTATGAGATACTGAACAAAAGGACAAAAATTCACCAAAAATAGGTGAAAAATGAAAGTCGAACGACTAACCACAGTGAGTGGGATTACAACCCAAATGATCATTGACAGAAACAGCAAAACCACAGTAAAGCAAAGACACAGTGGATGTAGTTATTTCGAAAGGAAGGTGGCCCTTTAATTAGTCTGTGTCCAGGTAGCCTTTGGATCATAAGCTGCCTGTGCATCCAGCTTATGAATCACCAGCACAGCCTGAAAATAAAGTAACACATTCTTGTTTATTTAATGCAACGGGTTCCCTGTGCAGTCCTTAGAGGTCAAGTTTATTTTTGTCTTTACTCTTGGACTTTCACCATTTAAATATTTTGTACCAACTGGGTATGAGCTGATGGTAGAACTTAATATAAGCTATAATGAGAGGGGATATTAATTCTGGCAAATGAATCAATATATTAAAAATATTTTATGAAGTATTTTATTTATTGTTAAAACAATCACACGTCAACCCTTTTCTTTAAAAAAAAAAGAAGAAAAAGTCACATCTTCTAGATAAGCACAAGGGTGTGTGGCTTATATTAGTTTACACTTTAGTCTCTAATAAACTAGTTGAACTGAAGAAATAGTGCAAATCAATGTGGATTATCGGTTTCAAACTGAAAGTATACCTCACTAAAGTCTCACAAACAGTTCAGAAGTTACCAATGACCACTTCTCTGGTCCTGACCATCCAGCCTGTGCTGCTGGCCACGGTAACTATCCGGTAAACAGCCGCTCCTGGTTGATACGCGCACAGGTGCGACTTTACCTGTCGGAGAGGAGAAGCTCAGCGTCCACCCTGTCCACAAACTCATCCCACGGTGTTTGGGACGTCCCTACGCTAAAGGCGGCCAGATCCATAGTTTCTGACACCTCCTGAAAGCTGGAGGAGAACCTGTCATAGTCGATGAAACCTTCTTCGTGCGCGCCAAACTTGTCGAACAGAGTCCGGATCTGGGTCTCGGGGACGCTGAGGTCTCGGCAGACCACCGTGAAGTCCTCGTATTCGATCTTGCCGGACTTGTTCACGTCGCAGGCGGAGAAAAGCCTCCGAAGGCTCGGTCGATCCATGGTTGTTATCAATTCAAAGCATAACGATGGCCGGTTGGTGAGCCCTGGCGTTTTGGATGGACGGACGCCGGCTGCGCCTTAGCCAGAATGGAGAGGATCCACACAGGCCTCAGTGTAGGCGGATGTCAGTCTGTGGAGCCACCTCCCACCTGGAGTTTATTGGTTACCGCAGGAACTTCAGCTTGTCTTTATTTGCCTTGTTTAAAAAAAAAAAACATGTTTACCATGCCCTCGTTGACGGTGGAAGACGCAGAGATGCAGAAGTAGCTGAGCAGAAATGCGCAAGTGCTCACGTCTGTTTGCCTTTGAGGTGTGTCCTGCACGGGTAAGGTTTGTCACACACTCTGTTACCACCAGTGTTTGTCTAATTCCACCCATCCAGGCTAAAGTGGCCTCCATAGGTTTTAATTTCTTACTCTGAGTATTTCAAGAATACACCAAGGGATCCAACTACTTGGTCCATTGTTATGTCAACATAACTTAAACTTTTTTGATAAATCATGGTTAAAACAGTCCTGTTCCTTTTAGATAAACCTCAGTGTAGTTTTTTTGGTCCTCAGGAAAAGGTCTCCAGGCTTCCAAAAGTCTACTTTTCAACAAAATCAGCAGCCTGTTTGGGATTATTAACAGTTCGAACATCCTACAATACCTTTTTGTGTTCGTAAATCAGTGGAGTGACGTCGTCTAACAGGATTGCCTGAAATTTTGTCCATAGCCATATCAGAGCATCTGCTCACTGTTGTGTGTATAAATTGGTGTCAATTCAAGCCAAACAATTTCAGATTTGTATTCAGCACTCCATAAAACCCGATGTTTCTCCCTTTTTGGAACATTTATACATTTTTTAAGCCTTTTCTCCCAGTTTCACACTTTGCTGTTGCTGCTAAATCCATCCGTCCATCCATCAAAATTGGTCATCAGAGGCATTTTTTGTAGATGCATTGAAAATAATTGTAACAAAAGCTTTGTTTATGTAACACGGTTTTTAGCAACAAAAGGCGTAAAGACAACTGTATTAGAATTAAGTTGTCTGTTGTGTGTGGACAGATTTATATTTGAATTATTCATAGGCCAGAGATGAACAGCAATACAAACAAAGCTTTAAAAGATCTACTTTGAAGTCTGTTTACTTTAAAAGTCTGGCTCCTTGAAAGCTGCATAAAGAAATGACGGGTGGCTGTTTATTGTACATAGACAAAAAGAATAACGTTGAGAGGTCATGTTTCAGTTATGCTAAATCAGATCCATTAAAATGGAAAGAGAAAATTATCCATTTCATCTTTATTTGAAAAATTAAAATAAAGTGCTTTTTATATACAATACAAAAAAAGGGGGAAAAAACAGTAGTGATGTATGATACAAAAAATACAATTCACAATATTTTTTACATTGGCAGCTGAATTTACAAAAAAAAAAAACTTTACATAAAACTAGTTTACTTGCTGTACAATACGTGTTGATAAAAGCCAGAGCAACTTGTACTGTCTAACAGAAGACCTGGCTACAGTGGTTCATTAAGAGCGAGCAGACAATACTTTCACTGTGGCATCTACAGCTTCCACTTGGATTCAAACAGAGTACTTTCACATAAGGGTTCTGCACTCACTGTAGCAAATGTAATGTTCAGATGACACAAAAGCTGCCATTTGTTTACGTGATTAATAACAGTCAAAGCACGAGTCTTTCAGTTTGCTTGAGTGATTACAGCTGGCCTGTCTTTATAATTTGCTTTAAGTGCCGTTTACAGGAAATTCATCATAATGCTAATACTTGTGTGTGTATATATATATATATATATTTTATTTTATTTTATAAAAAGCATTTCTTTGTGGTCTGCAGTTTAAGAATAAGATTTAGTCCCTGACTGAGGCTTAAGCCAACAGATCAAATAATAATATTAAAAAAGGAACACAGCATTAGCACAATTTAGTTTCACACTGACACCATCAAACAGCATGTGGACACTGTCTTCAAGTTTCCTAGAGTGGTACTGTCACACCTCGCGTGTCGCATTGGACTCTACAACACTACTACCTGGTTAGTTTATCATCTCAAGAGGCACATCACCTGATTATTGTTTCAGAAGGCATAATTCATTTCTGGCTTGGCAGATTTGTACTCTGATCCATAACATGCATTATTCTAAGGCTTTATCATCATGTGCAAATCCCACTTTTTCTGGGTCAAGTTGTATGCCTTTCCTTTACGCATGTGCTTTTGTGAGATTTTTATTTTGCTTAACTATACTAGAGCTAAACTCAGGTAAGACTGATTATTGAAAAACATGAAAATGATTTAAAAGTTATGCCATAATATGACAGTAAAATTTGGCAGTTAATGTAGTTTGATTGGTTACTTCTGTGTAGACAGAACAACTAAATGCACAGTTTTTGTGTTTATTGATAGGATGAGGTGAAAATTATTGAAAAATTCAGAAAATTATTGCATCAATGGTGACTCTCCATTAAAGCAACAAGTGTCTTTGCCAATAGCAACACTCATACCAGATGTGATATTCATGTCAAATTATTAAGTATTTTTGTTACGTTTATTTTAGACTATATTTAAAACATTGGAGACTGACTATAAAGAAAGCCTCTCAGTAACCTAAACATTTGGCCACATTTTCTTAATAAATATTCAGAGAATTAAAAAAAAAAGTTTTTACATGCTGCAATAAATCAAATGCCACAGATTTACATCGCCGTCATAGACCCTCCCCTTATCTTGTTTTATCATGCTGAGCTCTCAGAGTTTTGCTGTCTTTCTCCCTAAAACATTTTTAAAAAATGGCTAAAATCTCTTGCATACCTGCTGTTAGTATGAGTGCATGGGCTATTTCTTTTTTTATTTATTTTTCCTTTTTTTGCTGTGCCATGAATTCCAAAGAAGTTCACAGCACTCTCACGTTTGTGCTTACTCAGTCCCATGGTGAGCTTTTTTTCCTTTGTTTACCTCACTTCACATTATGTGCTTTGCATAGACTGCATGTTTCATGAAGAACAGCATGATAATACCTGGAATGAACTTTTCTTCTTGATAGCATCCAGTGATAAAAAAAGAAAGAATGAAAAGAATGACATGTTTGGCTTCCTCTGAGTAATATCTACACCCAGTAACAATTCAAATACTAGAAGAGTTTATCTGTATCTTCATTTATGTCGTATTCTTTTCTTTTCTCTGTGTGTTGTGAGGTGGTGGAAGTTTCTGCAAATTTTTCAACTTAGACGATTCTGTGCTCATATTTTCTTTCATCATTAATACATTTGATAACACTTTGAATCTCTTTTCTCAGTTATTTCTTTTTACACATTGTTTTTCAGTCTAAAATACCAAGTAAACCCATGTAAGTGCACACAGGCTATAAGGACAAGTGTCTTTCTCCTGTGCCATGGTCTTGTTCATGTATGCTCTGTGTGAGTGTTTACTTTGCTACAGTACAGCACAAAGTGCATAGCCTTGGCGCAGGCTCCCTCCAGAAGACAGACGAAAAAACATCATACACTCTGTCAGTGTTTGTGGCAAGATGTTTGAATGTCACTCTGCCTTTCAGAGCATCAAACCTATATGTGGACGGATAAAGTGACAGAGCTCTGAAATTCAGTCACTAAACCAAAACTGTGCAGCCACCTAATGCGCGTTACATTCCTGTGAGTGGTACGTGAAAGCGTCTGAAGGCAAACTCGAGCTTCATCAGCCCACTTCAGACATACTTGGGGGCGGGGGGGGGTTAGAGGAAAATCAAATAAAATGCACATTGAACACGGAGACTGAACAAAAAAGGACAAAGTGCAAAATCTGTGTTATGAAATGACTAGAGTGCTGCTTCTCCCTTCCAATGTTTTTTTTTCCCAAAAGGCGCACTCTTTTCTTTGTGTTCACTCCACGTAGCATGGAGCTGGTCTCACACTATAGAGTCTTTAATCTCGGATCCTAGTCTGACTCGTGGCCGTGGACATGTCGGAGAAATCTCTACATGGCTCTCTTTTAAGTTCAGAGGCCTCTTCTCCGACTCCGAGAAGCTCTTGCTGTTGTCGGGGGATGAACACTCGTGCGGTGGAGTGCTGCAGATGTAGTTGTCATTAAGGGTCTGGTACCCTTTGTGGTCTGATGCGGATGTTGTGACTGTGCTGCCATTGAGGGGTAAGTTCTCGGCTGGCTTCCCCACTATCCTGGGCTTCTTCTGCTGCATGTTTGGGCACTCTCCCTCCTTGAGCATGGACTTCATGTGGTCACGGTTCCTGTACACCACAAACAGGGAGAAGACCACCAGGGAAAACCCCAGTAGGGCGCAGACCACAATCAGCTCGTTCCAGTAGGTCTTGGTGTTGATCTGCGGCGAGCGGGTCTCCCCCGGAAGGATGACGAACTCCTCCTGTGAGATCTGCGGTACGTGGGAGCGGCCTGTCAGGGTGGTGCTCTCCTGCTTGGCCTCGCCCCTCACGCAGTAGTTTGCCAGCAGCTGTTTGAAGCCTTCCTCCACTGACCAGCACTCGTATGTTTCTTGCCTGTTGGCCTGCGCTACCACCACAAGTCCCCCCTCGGGACTCGGGTAATGGAAGTGACCTGCGCTCTTACTGAACTCCCACCTCCTTTCAGCCAAATTAGAGCGCAGCTTGCAGGGCAGTACTTTGAATGTGTTGGCTGGGATAATGATCACCTTACACGACAAAATACCTGTGGGAAGGGAAATCAGAGACAGGTTGGGTTAGATGTTGCATGAAAGAAACTGAGCCATTCTGTCGTGTAGATCATATGAAATAATGACATTTCAAAGAGAAGGAGTTAACATACGTGAAGGTGGAAATTTAGAGACCCTTGTGTTCAGATCATTCTTGTTGCAAATAGTGGACGTGTCTGCTTCATCTACATCCTGTTGCACACTGCTGAAACACACACAGTTAACGATTAGGGCCAAAGGATGATTTCCCAAACAAAAAATGTAAGTAGTTTTTGTGTATGGGTTCATACTTGCTTGCAGGAGCATTTCGGACATCTACACATTGCTTCCTGTTCCAGGCACAGTATGGATCCCTGGAGAGGATGCATTCCCCACAGCTCTGGTAATTGGTGCAGTTAGCTACTGGAACTTCCACCACTTCAGAGAGTGAGGAAACGTAAAGCTGACCCTGTGGAGGGGAGATGACAAGCAGGGGTCAGTCAGCTAATGAAAGATTTCCCTCGCCCAGATGTAAAAATTAAGCAAATACACATCAATGTTCAGAAAGTGACACAAATCCAGCTGTTTGCAGATCACTGAATGAGAAATCTGTGTGTAATGAGTTCATTCAACACAGAGACTTTTCATTAGGAGCTGGGACTCTTCATAGCTTGTGAAATCTCTGATACACTGATTCTAAATTAAATCTTGAGGTTAATAGGTCCTATCATCCATCCATTTTCTGAACCGCTTACTCCCAAATAGGGTCATGGGGGACTGGAGCCTATTCAGTAGTAATTGGGCGAGAGGCAGTGTATGCCCTGGATGGTCCGCCAGTCCATCGCAGGGCCACACAAAGACAAATAACAACACACACTCACTACTAAGGGCAATGTGGAATTTCCAATCAACCACAAAGGTTTTTGGACGGTGGGAGGAAGCCAGAGTACCCAGAAAGAACCCAGGAAACATTACAAACTCCACACAGAAAGGTCTTGGTTCCCCCGGGGACTTGAACCAAGAACCCTCTTGGTGTGAGGCAAAGGTGCTAACCACCACACCAACCAGGTCCAATCATCAGCAAACATTTTAGGTGTAAATGTCTCTGAGCATTCTACTTTACCTTTTCAGTGTCCAGTTCGATGTGCTGCACTGGTTGAGAATCACGGAGAACCACCATTTCCTCAATGATATGCATCTTGTTTTTGACATTAATGGCTTTATGCAGTCTCCCATCATCTAGAAAAATACACAAGTCAACTTTAAACTCACCTGGACTCTTGGGAAGCTTAAAAAATGTTGCTTGTTTCTTGTTTGAATTGTGAAGACTGATGTGAAGCACTCTACCTGTCCCGATGAAGAGCACGTTATACACCTTTTTAGCTACTTGGACTCGATGGACCACGATCTGGGTGTAGCGCACATTCCGTTTCAGGAGCAGAGGCTGGCTGCGGATCACGCTGTCCATGAGGAAGTGGTCTTTGACAAAGTTCAGCACCTTGTCTGGCATGTGCAATGAGGAGGAGATACCCTGTGCTCTGGCAGCATTTGTGATGCACTGTGGACATACCACAACAAATCCTCTTTTTAAAACATTTATTCACCCAAGGAGAATTAAAAAAAAGCAACTTCTCAATGATTTGCCACTCCGTGCGTGCATGTTGAGCCTCTCCAGCAGAGGGCAGCAGGCAGGTACTCACCGCTCCAGGCCGTGGCTCTGGGACTGGGTGGTTGTACGTGTGCCACTGCTGGGTCTCTCTGTTCACCTCCCGGTATCGCCCATTGAATGCCTTTTCCACCTGATCCATGGTAAAGGAACACACTGCAGAGCTTCCAGATGCACCCTTGTACCTGACACAGCAAACACAGAAATAACACAAGTTATGAAACCTCGAAACATCTACAAATCTGCGGATCGCAACCAATAGATATCTCTAGTGAATTCAGCTCTCACCACTGAGATGTGAAGACTCCATAAAACACTGTGCTCCTCCAGTTCTCCGGGCTGGGTGTGAGCACAAACATGTCTTGGATGATATTAAAAGGAAAGCCGTCATCAGGTAGAGAGCACAAAAGCTGAGCCTTCAGGAAAGTGGTCCACTTCTTCTGCAACACCCTCTCTCCTCCGATGTCACCCTGCAACACACATCATCAGTTTGGAGTGTTTTAACACAAAGCCAGCAGAGGGTGCAGTGACATGAAGGAGACTCCTGTGGCGCCGGCAGACAGCGCCGCCGCACAGTTTGATATATGCTGGGATGAGATCTGACGGGCTTGTGTGATGCTCATGATGAAAGGACAATACGCACCATATGGCATATTGCCAACATACACTGTGCCATGAATCCCAAATCGGGTGATATGTAAGAAAAATAATCCTGCCCTCTTTCTTCATGGCAGCAGAAACATAAGGAAAACACTGTGTCCAAAGGTAAAGCAGTTTGAGTTGACACAAGAGCAAAACATTAACTTCCTATAGTAAAACCGTAATGAGCTGAGTCAGTGGAGCCTGCCACACAGATTATGCCCCGAGGCGCAACACTTTTAGGTCATGAAAACAATGTACAACATCGACACGACTGGCATAGATAAAGCGTTATCAGGGATTAGAGCAGGACAAGTGCTTTTAAATGAGAGAGAAAAAGAAGCTTTGCCCCCAACGATCCCTCTCTGCTCGCGCCACTGCTGTGATCCGGCGCCTTTGGCACAAGTCTTCAAAGAGCTACGAGTGGCACGGGGCCCACATGACATGAGAACTAATTGAGCTACACAGATTTCACGACAGGATATTAGCAAGAACTGCAGGGTAGCGGCATCTTTAAACCTCACAACGAAAGCGATTATGTGATGGAGTTTAGACTGTCAAAGAGAGTCTATTCCGCATGGAGTTACAGGTCTGAGGGGAGGGACTACTCACAAAGAGAGAAGACAGGATGAGCAAATGGTGTGTGCTGTACATCACAAATCTGACATGATGAAAGACTGCTTTTGTGAGAAGCTTTTAAGATTGTGACTATTAGAAGATAGTCACAACACCCTCTTTTTGTAAGACCCTTTGGATAAAAGCGTCTGCTAAATGCATAAATGTATAAACAAAATTATCTAAATGACATACAGCCCTTTAATGTGAAACCTTGGTTTAGTCCACTTTTTTAAAACTTAAACCAGAGGCATCCTGTTCTGAATGGAAAATGACACATTGCCAATACTAATTCGCTGATGCACCGCCGTCATAGTAACACACAAAGATAATGAGCAGCATGCATTTCTCTTGTATTACTGGCTGAACCTAATTTGATGATTTTATGCTGCTTAATTTGACTGTGAATGACTGAGGCAAATGCATCTCTTGTTCTGCCGCCTGCTGAAAAAGCCATGAACATGGCTGGAAGGGAAAGGCTTTTTCCTGGAGACGAAACAATCCTGCCAACCAAAGCACGCTTTGCTTTAGTTGGTGTCTGGCTAATCACTATTTGTCCTGCTGTTGTTGGCCTCAATAACACGTAAATAAAGAACTGATATACACAACAAAGATGAGGAGAGCAGCTGACACTGTGAGTCAGAGGATTCAGTGAGATGGTGGCAATAGCTGGACGTCAGTATTTAGAGTATCAGTCTTTCATCAATCTTACAGCAAATGAACCCACATCTTTACAGAACCTTTGTATTTGAATTATTCTTGTTTAACTTATTTAGGGTAACACTCTCCCACAACTTGGCACTTTATTGCTAATATCCTTCTGGGCAATCCACACCAAGATGTTTTATACTGAGCACTTAATTCAACCATATGTGAGAGCCATCAATAAGCCACATAAGCAAGTGTTTACATGACTCTGTTAGGCGAAATGTTTTTTTTAAACTTTATGCGTGGGGAAAAAATGAGTTGGCAACTGAAAGAGGAAAGTTTAACTCTCTGGGAAGGGTTGGAAATGGAAGCAGCATCCATTTAAAGAACAGCTTTGCATAACACTACATCAAACTGTCGCCTTTCAGTCGCCACTCTCCTAGTAAAGCCAGGAATGTCAGTTTTTGCAATAAGGACTGGAATTTGATCAGGTATTTGATTCTATATATATTTGGAAAACTATAAATCAAAAATGTGTTTAACAAGTACACGCCAATAAACCCACATTCTACCTATGCCAGAACTTTCTTCGTGGGTTTCTGAATCCAGGCCCGAATATGTATGTATATATATATTCTATACAAACTTAAATAACAATTTGGAGGGGAAAAATCAAATAAAAGGGATCAATGTAGAGGAAACTTTTTACTCCATCTGTGTTCCAGAGGCTCTACAAGCTGAAAAGATGTCAAATGAGATGAGACCAGCTTTTAGAAGACTAAGTACATTCCTGTTTGTGTTCCTGAGGAGCATAAACAGAGTTCAAAATACAAAATGGACAAAGACACATCTCCTCATGCTTTGATAGAATAGTGTTATGGGTAGATGATGTTAAAGGGTACACAACCTTCTAAAGGTGGACTATCTGCCCTCAAACATCACTCACCTTACACACACGAGCAATGCGTGACACAATGGTGTTGTCAAAGAAATCAAACTCCTTCCCCGCTTCACTGAAGAAGAAGTAAATCTTATCATCATCACCCACTAGATTACCCTTGGGCAGGCTCTCCTGTATGTAGGCTGAGCCCACAAAGGCTGGGTCTGAAAAGAACATAACAATACTGTAACATTGGAACAGTGACATATGTTCCTGTTACAAAACAGAGTCCAGTTACAACAAGGATCACAGGCAAACACGTTTAATTCACATCATTTCAGAGACTGAAACAGTGTAGAGCTAATATTCAGTGCTTCTGGAATAATTTTGAGAGAATAATTTACTCTCGAAATGCATGAAAAATGTGACATTCAAATTAGATGCATTTTATTGAAAGAAAACATCATGCAAAACAGTGGTTTCAAGCCAAAGCGTTGTACCTTGAAGCCAGTTTAGTGAGTTCTCTGTTTTCAGAGCAGTTCCTTGGCTCAGACTCTTATAAATGATTGGTTCATTTCCTTGGAAATTACTAACTGTGCCGGCATACAGCTCTCCATCTGCAACACAGTTAAGAAGACCACCATCATTCCAATAATTAGCACATGGGAATAAGCTTCTGTATCACAAACAGTAATGAAATCCAGAGGTTATAACGCAGCTTGTTTCCATATTAACCAACTTCACCAATTTATACAACTGTAAGCATTTGACAGTGAAACCAACCAGCCATGATGGCAGTAGACTTGTATTCAGGGTTAAATGGGCAGCGACTCCGTCCATCCTCTGTGACTATCCCACCAGTGTCACTCTTGACAAAGGAGAAGTCTGCGGTGCTCTGAAGGAAACACACACACACACACACACCACATAATGACATAGGTAGCTCAGAAGTAGAGCCATAACCTGTCAGTTAGTGCTGTCCTCCCGTACCACAGAGAAAGGGTGGCTAGTCATTCTCGGGCTGAAGTTGAAACATAGGTCGTCTGTGTTTGTTTGCTATAGATTGTTCTAAAAGGCTTTAAAATATTAGGAGAAACGGATTGAAAACCAGATTGATTTTTATGTAATTTTATTACATGCATTAAATATTTGAATCCGTCTCCCACAGGCACAGGAGATAATAAAATAATGCACTTATGTTGTATCTAGCCTTGCAGAGCCTGACACAGACTGCTAAGTGAGCTGAGAGACAGGAAGCAGCGTACATCAGATGTTATGCTCTTCTTCTTGAATCAAATAAATAAATGCTTTACAAAGTCCAGCACCACAATAATCAACTTTTCCAAAGATGGAACTGTTTTATTTCTGTCCGTTTTTCATCAGACAAGACAAAGACCATTAGGGTCAAAGCAACAGATATGGAAGGGGAGACTTACTATGTAAGCACAGATAGGGCTGAAGGCATATGTTCCACATGCATACAGATGAGTGCTGTTCATACGCAGTAAAATCTTGATGTAGTTGAAGCAGTCGGTCTGCATGGGAAAAAATTATTTTCAGCAATATTAGTTATTTGTTTCCTTCTCAAGATACAAAATCTTATCAAAGCTATGTTGATGAAAATAAATGTTCAACATAAAGAAATTGTATTAGTTGTGAAATACTTTTTGTATTTAAAAATAATCATACTATTTGCATTTTGTTTGTCTAAAGTCTCTGTTAGGCTTTAAGTTGAGCTGAAGTAAGCTGGCAATAGAGAAAGTGTCACAGAGGAAAATTCTTTTAGAAAGGAAAGGAAAAATCCATCACGGAAAATTACAATGAGTCAGGAAATGTCCAGTGATATGTTTCCAAAAGGCCATTCACTAGTGGTTGATGTAACCTGTGAAGCAACCCTACAGTCATGTAAATAAAGTTTGAGCCATGTGACTTCAGATACATGAGCTTCAAAACCAGGAGCTGACTCGCCTGCAGGTCTTTTCCTTTGAAACTGCACTCATCTCTCTTCCTCTCTGGGGTTTTCCATGTAAGCTGCAGAAGAGAAACACTGTCAGGCTCATGCTGTAGTTAAACAAAGTCAGGTGTGTCATGCTCATTTTTCACTTATGGGATTATTCAATATTCACTACAAAATCATTGCATTACCTTTGGGACTTTTTACATCTATATTCATATCTTCCCTTTTCCATATAGTAACACAGTCTAATCCTGATAAAAAAAACATTTCTTACATTTCTTTGTAGCCTAACTTCACTGATATCAGAGAGGTTGAGTGCGAAGACACTCTCCCGTGCGCCAACATAGAGTATGTTGTCTTCGCTACTAAGCAGGACGGAGGTGAAGTTGAAGACCCCGTTCACTGAGAAACTTCTGGTTGTTCTCTCCTTTGCATCTAGACAGAAACAATAGAGAAGGAAGCGTGAGATTTGATTAATTAATCAGTCTGTCTTCACTGGACAGAGGACACCATTCAGTTCATTAGAACTCTAATAGACTATTATGCGCCATCACAGACAAAAAAAGAATAATAGAATGGATGAATACACTGTGTCAGGTCTGATAAATCTCAACATGTCTCTCATTATTACAACCACTCAGATGAGAAAGATTACGAGACCCATAATTGTGACCTTAGTTTGCTTTGCATAAAAAAGCCTAAACTGTCTATAAGTGTATATCATCTGTCAGTCTTCGAACTCCAGAAGTAAGCACTAGAGCTGACTTGAGCTGATACAGAACTCCTACAGAAAACTTTCAGCTGCCAAAGATCTGGACTACACAATATTTTGGTGAACCTGAGGAAGCTAACCACAATAAATGAATGTGCAACTGTGTGCAGCAGCAGCTTCCAGTTGCATGTAGCACCTCATCAGAAAAAGAGAAACTCCTCATATATCTCCTACAGTTGCTAAACTAAGTGAAAGGCTCCAAAAAAAAAGGTTAAATGGTTGACTCTCCTAATCACTGCTTGCTGCTTAGTGTATAAGAGATTTGAAGGAACTGTTATTCAGAATGATCCTGTACTATGAAGTCATTTAACATTAAAAGTAGGATCTTTTGTCGTCTGATTTTTGCCTTTGCCTGTTTAAAAATCTACTTTAAAATCTGTTCAAATCTTTACAAAAATGTTTTCGTTTTGATATACGCTTAGCCGACCTGATATAGAATTTAAATGGTTGAAATACTTTTATTTCACCTCCAAATTTACACAAACCATATCCAAAGTATAAAAAAGAAATTGCGTTAAAACCACATATACTGGTGGTAATAATTAGACTTGTGGTTCTTTCCTACATTAAACTAATCCAGTAAAAGTACAGTAATTTAGTTCTACTGTTAATAAGTTCTCATACCCTGCAGTTTGTGTGACCTAACATAACCCCATCCCTGTGCTGCAGGAGGTTGAAAACTTCCTCTCCCTAAGGAAAGCAAGATGTTAATAGCAGTCCATCGCCACAGCAACAGCGGGAAATATTGTAGTTAAATCTGTCCGTAAAACCGCAAGAGATTCTGCTGTGCGTAGTGTACGTGGACCCAAAGGGGCCACTCTTTTTCCTATTCACTATCATTACAGGATAAATGGACTGCCACTTCATGCCGGTACTGATTCCCCCCTTTTCCTTCCCAAACAGCCTTTGGCAAATTTAAAAGGAAAGACACACAAAGCCAATGCTTTAACCAAAACAAAAGCTTTGAGAGATTTTCAGAGGAGGATATCTGCACAATTATTCTCTGGAGTCAGATCACCACTGTCATACTTAGCAACCACAGCTGGCAAAGAGCAACAATGGGACACTGAACTGAGTACCATTAAAGAGATCCAGGAGGGTTTTGCAACTGTGGGAGCTTTGCTTTAATCTTTTCAGGAAAACAGTCATTTTTCAGTGTGCACTAATAGTTAAATCTCAGTTTAAAGGAAATGTTTGTTTTGTCTCCAAGTTAGAGGGTCGCAGGGCCCCTGATTCTTACCCTGTCAGTAATACTTTTGCCAAATTCCAATCGATTATCATTACAACAAGATCACTCTGTCAATTTTCCAAGCTCCAATCCTGAAAGTTTGCAACTTTCAGTGTTCTATACGGGCAGTTATGGATTCCCCTGGATTCTAGTCAACATGGCAAGACATGACTCAAATGAAAATGTTAAAGTAGAATTCATTTGGGTCTATTTAAAAAAGCCTGCAGTGCTTTGAGCATGTAAACACTCCTATTCAGTAATGTTTGGATAATCAGATTGGTTCATCTTCTCTAATTACACATGCTGGCTGGCAGATGCTTCATCCGGTCACCTTCACATGTGATTGGATTAAGTATACAGCCGGAGCACGGTGTAAATATTTGGATTGTTTATGGCTGTTCATCAGCTCAAACAAGAGACTGAAACTTTTTACTTTCAACTCAATGAAAAAAATGTGTTCCATCACATAGTTCATGAATTAACATACTGTGAAAGTTATAATGGATTGAACAGATTTTTTTTAGATTTTCTGAGTTGTCATGAGCAAAAACCTAGTTTCAGACTCAAACTCACAGGTCAAACACATTGCGGACAGTTTTTTCCTGAAGAACCACACACACTAAAGAGTACATTCTGATTAAACGTGTCCTCCCCTCACTCCACACTTGGCGCAGTCGAATAAAGAATCTCCTCCTCTGTCGTTCCACTGGCTTAGGTTTATTCCTTCAGGCTCTTTCATGACAGTGCAGCCCTGGAAATGTTGCGGTGCACAGCTGAACAAGGCAAACGTGAAGTTCAAGGGAAATACTCAGTGAAAGAACAGCTTGTATCACTCAAACAGTATCAGTAAGGGCAGAAGTGTGTGCCACGTCACTTCTGAAGAGGTAAAATACAATAATAATTCACTTGTGGTTGAAGATTTTTAAAGCCGTTGTAAAAAGAAGGTATAAAATGCATTCTGCATTTTTTAGAGGTCTATTTTGGAATGCGTTAATTTTAAAGTTGCTCTGATCAGGGTGTCACATGTTTTTTTTACAGCATTGGAGACTACAGCATGTGAGTTGAGAGTGAACCGCTCTTCATACATAATTCATTCCTGTAGAAGAGAAATGAACCCCGACATGAACTTGAACAACCTTTGTGAAGGATGGCTGGAGCCTCTCAGTGGATAACACTTAACCAAGACTTTTTATCCTGACTTTTCCTTTAAGATATAACTAATCTTTATTCTTTTTGGTGTGTAGTTAAGTGAGTTGTCCTCTTGAGAATGGTTCTGAGATGGAATGTGTCTGGTTTTTGATACAGTACTGTCTGAGGGTCAGAGGCATTCGGGGTAGGTTTGTTTGCCTTGCTCTGTGTGTGCACAGATTCTTTTTTATCTTTCAGTGATATAATGGACTGGATGGAATCCCTAAATTCCTTGCAATTTAAGAAAGCATTGACAAAATTGTGGGTTTATTAACGTGTTCAGTTCCACTCCATTTTTGTGAACAACTGAGTTTCTCAAGGCTGCTGGATTTATACCCAATTATGACACTCATTTGTTTCTGGTCAACCTTTTCACTAAACAGGTGTTTCTTTAGTATGGCTCAGTTTTCACATTTTTACAGTTGGAAGCCTTCAGCTTCCTTGCACCACTTAAATTATTGATCGAGTGTAAGTGTGCATAGTAGTTTGTCTCTTTGTTGTCCTGTGACGAACTGCCGACCTGTCCAGGGTGTGCCCCAATGACATCTGGGTTAGGCTGCAGCTCCCTCTGTGACCCTGACTTGGACGTTATGGTCATAATGGGGGACAGTTTAATGTTTTTGCATAGGTTTAATTTTTCTCTGAGTGAACTTATTCTCACATAATGACAAATGCTTGATGTTCAGACAACAAACCAGGACTAAACTCCCTGCTGTCTGTGTTCTGCTCATGGAAACACCAGGCAGAGCTTTAACTGGCAGATTATCTTCAGTGCGGTCTAAACTACACAAAAGGGGAACCAGCATCCAGAGCCACAGGGTTTTACACCTCATCATGTCACTGATAGCAGACCTCTGATCCTAGAGTATGAGAGCGCAACTTTATGTGGTTACAGCACTTCATCCGTGACCCGTTCCACACATGCATGAGCGGCACACTCCATGGTTCAACCTCTGTCAGCTGTAAGCAATACATGCTATCACTGCCATTATTATGTAATTAAAAGTAATTTCTGCAAATGAGACTGCTAAATGGACTGAAATACTCGCTTTGAATGACTTGCTAATCTATTTAGAGAAGAAATTAATTACATTGAGCTTAAAGGAATCCAACATTTTTTGGTCCTGATTTCCTAATGGGTCTGTGTATAAAATGCAGAGGGATCATTAAGAAGTGGAACATCCCCTCCAGAGGGGAACGGCAGAGTAATTTTTCCTTTTATTGACAGAGATCTTAGTCCTTTCATCTGTTGGGCAATGAAGGCTTTATTCAACTCCCCTTTAAAGGGACTGCGTTTATCAGTTCTTACAGCTGTATGCTTGCAGATCAAGTGATTGCATACTTCATTTAGAACACTTGGTTGCTGGCTCACTGTAGAATACGATCAAAAACAAACCGTACATGAGGTGAAATGACCAGCAACAAAAATACCGACCAAACCAGCTTCAAAATGAAAATACGGTCTAGCCTTGTCACCGGTAACAAACCCTCTTGCCTTAACTGCTGGGTAGTTTAGAAATGTCGGGGTAAATTTCACCAGTCAGTGACCTTGCAAAATGGTCTTCATAGCCCTCAAGTGCAAGAGAAAATTCATAATCTTCTTTAAGTGATGTCAGATGCCCCATTTCCAGTCTTCTGACCATAAACATGGCCTACATAACCATATCTGAGAACGAATTAGAACACAGCAAGAAGAATTCACATTTTATACAAGGTTGAACAGGCACTAGTGTACCAACGAACCACAAGTAAGAAGTAGGGATATCTTTTTTTTTCATTTAAGAAATCCCAGACACCCCAACTCTGGCAACATAATCTAGATTTAACGGTTGCTTTACCAGAATATTGCACAAAGAGTCAGTAATTTTCTATTGTGTGAGCAAAGAGACCTAAGGGACAAACGTCTGTGCTCAGGAAAGAATCGCTAAATGCCTGTAAATCAAACTGCTTTTAGTGAAAGTGATTAAACCCCCTCGCTGGGAGTGAGGCAGTGAATGCTCCTGCCAACAGGAGTCCCGCTGTGTCAGTGTTGCATTGTAATGTCAAGATACAAAACAGCTCACTTTGGGCCACTAACTAGATTATCCAAAGTCATTTTAAACTAGCTATTAAGAGCTGCTGCTGAATGGGTAATTGTGTGGGAGAACGCGCCTGGGAAGCTGAAGGACAGAGACTGAAGCATCTGGAGTGCATTAAGACAACAGGCCAAGAGGGTCAATTCACCAGAAGATTTCATAGGCATGCTGTGATCCTGCTGTTTGTATTTGTAAATTGTGGAACCAAATCTTGTTTACAAGATACTTTGCCCAAGACATCATCCAGATAATGAGAGTTGAATCTGTGGTCCCGAAAGTAATGTGAGTTCTAGAAATACGGTAAGTATTGAGAAAAATGGTGGAAAATTTTAAAGAAGGAAACTGTTAACCAACATTTCTATACAACTCCAATGTAATTCCATTCATAAAAGATCATACAACACTGCTCTGGAAGACTGCTTCCTAATGAAAATTTTGATAAGGCAGTCTGCAGTTCAGAGTGCAGCTAAAGCTGTCCCCGGATTAACCACCATATCGTTAACCAACTACTGGTTGATAAAGAACTCACCATGACCTCATTTTTCTAGTGTAAACAGTGACGGCACATTTTTAAAAAAGGAACCGTGGAAGAAGTCCAGATATGTGGCAATCTGCACAGCAGAACTTTGACCTGACAAATCCTGCACACAACATAACATCAAAAAATGTTCTGTAGAAGTTGATATTAAAAACTTTACTTTCAATTCTTACCAACTGGATAAGTTGGTATGTCCAAGGATTGAACCAAAAGTCAGCTTGCTGACAAATAATAATTGATTACTTGTTGACAAATAATTGATTACTTTATCATTTCTTACTGTCAGTCCGCGTCCCACATGGCCCATTGAGCTCTGATTGGTCAACCGATCAAAAGTTATTATAAACACAGCTGCTTTGCCTTTCAGAGTATTTTCTTTTTTGTCATTCTATTGTCATTAGACGAAAGCAGAGAACTCTGAAACACAAACAAGTTATTCCAAGGAGAATGAAAAGAGTCTAATAAAAAACATAGACATTTTGGCTTGTCATCAGCTGTTGACTGGAAATCAGCATGTGGCAACTGTTACAGATGTTGAGCAGTATGCTTGTAATGTGCCACTGCTGTGAGACTGATTTTCTAGTTTATACCAAATAGTGATTTGTGATCTAAGCCATGATGAAAAGAAAGATTGAGGATGACATTCTACTGCTCGTTAAACTTATCCATGTTAGAATTCCTACACCAAAGATGTCCTTTTTTCCCACAGTGGAAATCAACACAAAAATGAAAAGACGTTGTATCACTTTACTTAAGTGTCATTTTAAATAACTTGAAAGAGGTTATTTAAGATGGTTCAGACATGACAGCCTTTAAATAATTTAGAATGTTTTACTCCCAGTGTGGATGAGCACATGGCCCCTTAGCCAAAAAGAAAACCTAAACAGTCACTTGATGTGTAACAGAAGCTGAATGGGTCGACAGGAAAAGACAGGCAATTGAAAGGGCTTATAGGTGTACCATTAAATAGTGTTCCAATGCTCTGAGCCATTCAGCATGGTTTGCTTTAAAACCTGGAACAAAAGCAAAGAGAAAGGCAGACGCAGGCTTTGCTCCTTGAGCCCATGATCCGTACTGATAGGCGCATAATGAGAAGCAGACAAGTGTTCACACCATAACACATACAAATGCCCATTCATTATTCATGGCAGATTACCCTCTTCATTAAGACAGAGGAGGGGACCAGGGGACAGATAAGGAGGGAAATTAGTCTTTGAGACAGTTGCCGGATGACGATCCGCCAGGCAAAGCTCTGGCCCTCCCACATTGCGGAGGTTTAGGCATGCATGCTGTCAAGACAACTGCTAACAGATAGGAGAGAGAGGACTGGAAACCATGACGTTCCTGCTGCATAAAGTTCATGTCTCTAAGGTCTGCAGCTTTGCATTCTGCTTTGATACTTTATATACAATGTGAAAAGGCCTTTCTCGGCGGGAAGCTGGAAAATGTCACTATGGCAGACCAGATGTTACCAACTTTTATCACCAGGCCCTGCTGACCTCCGTCAGCCAGTCGAAACATGATCTTTTCCTTACTTCACAATCTGACATGTAAGAATACAAACAGCAAGTGTCCTTGTAGATATTATTTGTATTTGTGAGCACTTAAACACATTCAGAAGTCAAGAAGAGCTGATAAACGGACTCATTAAGTTTTATGGGGGACTGTGACTACTTTCGTTGTTGCTGGGTTATTACCTACACAACCCAAATGTCAGAGCTCATCAAAGTCATCCATACTTCAGCAACATAAAGGCTATAATAAATAAGTTGAGGTCTCTTTAGCTCCAATAGCATATTCAAACTATGCTCAGGTTACAGAGATTATAGCCCTGTTTGCCCTCATCTTAAATGCTGGCATTAGTTTGTGTACTGCAGGCTAATGACATCTGGGTCATGTCTGTTTTATTGGGTTGCTTAACACTGGCTCTATGCCCTAAAAGCAAACCAGAACAGGAGAGTGTGTAAAACATCCTTTTCTGAGTGACTGATGATGTGTGTTAGGGTGTAACACTCCGTCAGGGCCGCTCTGCGGACTTTGCTCAGGCTATGAGGTGAGAGAGAGGATCTGTTCAGGTAAGACATCCAACAAGTGGAAGGCACAAGCTCAGACAGGCCACCAGTTTCAAAACTCCCATAGCTTAGCAATAGACCTGTGTATGAAAATTAATCCATGGCTTCAATAGATTATGAAACAAGATCTGTCAACAAATTTTCCATAACATCTTAATGATGCCTAACCGTGAGTCACTGTACAGTTTAAGTGTTGAAAGGTTCCACTGGTTCCATAATCTCTCATTACATTTCATTTCTATGGGGGATCGTAAAGCACAACTTGTTTTTAAACCCAATTTGTAATCACAAGAAGACTCTTTTTTTGCTGGAACAATTAGACACGTGATGATAAGATAAGTTGTTAACAGTGGCCTCGGTACTACATGTGACATAAAAAAAAACACACACCACTGAAAAGCAGGATTTAACTAGAGTGTATGGCAAAATGTGACAGTCACTTGTTATATTTCTAAACTCAAGTGTTTTACAAGCTGAGACATGGAACATGTATAATAAAAGTGCAATAACTCTCGGCGCTTCAGTGAATATGTCTGACTGCTTTCTGTGAGTTACAACAGAGCAGGTCTGTGCAGTTTGTAATTATGCCTGACCTATGGGAACTCCACAGAGCCAGCTGCCACTCGGATGGATTATGCAGTTTAAGTTAGGAGGATTTAACACTGTTTCACTTTACAATGTTAACGTGTTTACAATGAATAGCAATGCAAAGTACAAAAATGGAAGATGCAGATTTTTTCGTTCTAGTCGGCAGATTTAAAAGGAAAACATCATCTGTTTTGCAGGCAGGACCTTAGAGCACCAAGGATGAATCTTGGAGAAACCATCTGTTTTTGTTGACCCTTTAAAGGTTTCCAGATGAAAAAGTTTTGTAAAGTTTTACCTCCAGAAACCTTTGAAGTACATAGCGAAGGGGCTCCGTATGACTTGTAATTGACATTCGGCCATGTGCTGAACATCATGTACATCTTACAAAAAAGAAAAAAGAGCTTTTCAGCTCACACATACTGAGAGGATGTTGCCTGGAGAAACTCAAACTGTTACCTATGATTTAAGGCTGGGAGCTTGTGACACCAGACTACCTTTGGGTTGAATATTCCATATGACTGAACATCTCATGTAGTAGAATTAAAGAGCATGGTTATTCAATTATGAAGAAGTTGTACTTACTGTAGGAAAAAGTGAGGCGTGGAGTGACATCGTTTTCTGTGGCCGCTGCATGAAAGTAACCAAGGAGGAGGATGGAGTAGACTGGGAGACAGAGCCAAGCCATATTCAATGTCCACCTGCTTCCTCAAGACCACCAGGCACTTGCTGTATTTGCCTTTCAGGTTTTAGGGGAATTCATGAAGAGCGTCTTTTTTTAGCTTGTGTTTGTTTGCCTATACTTCTCTTTCTTGTTGTTCCGCTGTCCCAGGTGTCTTGAAAGGAAGGCCAGCACACAGTAATGAAGTCAAGGCACTTCTTCAATGGTGAAGACAACAATGGTGGATCGAAATGACAAGCAGCGACCTCAGAGCAAGACAGAGAGTTCCCTCTGAGACACCTCGGAGTCTTGGCTGAGATCTATGGAGAGGAAAAAAAGCAATGTTAGTTCTTTTATTACTGAGTACAGGCAAGCTTTGAAACCCAGATCTATCATTGTAAAGAGCATTCAATAATTTTTCAATTTTAAATAGAGTATAATTGAGTTTTAGATTATTGACAGCTGGGAAATCACCACAAACTCGTTATATCTGATTTGCTCTATTGATTTGACGCTGCAACTGTAATACAGAAAATTATGTTATATTTTTTTCTTTCTCCTCTATAAGCACAAAAATAACCTGACATTGAGATGGGGCCAAATGTGTAAAGTCTAAAAGGTCCAGTTGTTGGCTTTGATAAGGTTTAATGTTGTAAAACTTCTTTCAGTTTCTTTTCAGAGCAAGAAGTGCAGCTGTTTGTTCTGCATTGATTATTAACAGAATACATCATGAATTATCATTGGTGCAGGGTGTGTTTATGCCTGCACAGTGCTACTGTCAGGTCAATTTGATCGTGTTCTGATACGAATGAATAACTTTGCCCTGTCGAAGCCTTAATCTAATCATGTACTGCCAAGAAACAAAAGCAGAGACTTCTTAGAAATCTTTCTTAAAGGACTGGCAATGAAGAGATCTATAACTGGTAGAAAACTACTCATTTATGAAGGATTATAGGTGTTTTTGTCCTATGTGTCTCTGTAAATGAATTTAAAATTTGTTTCCTGTGTAGTTAGAAACTGTACGGTCATTACAAGCTTTACACTAAGAAAGCTTGTAATATCTAAAGTTCATGGTTGGCTTCAAGTGTGCCCACTCACAGTTGCAGTGAGTATTTTATGGAGATAAAAGCATCTAAAGTCAGATGAAAAAATGTAAAGGTGGCTGTTCAGTTCTTTTGAAGTCAAGCTGGATAACATTAATTTAGTATTTGTGTTAATTCAGGAATGGACACAGCTTCATCCCAGCATCTATAATAACATCATAATAAACACACAAGGCATATATGATAACAGTAATGGACATATAGGGCAATTCATTGATGCTGGTTAACTAAACGCAGCGAGACACAAAGGGAAACTCAGTACAGACATCACAGTTACAACTGCAACAGCTCCATTACATTTACCACTATGAGATTCACAGAGCTAACAAACCAGAGATTCAGTTTCATGTGAGGAATGGCAATCAATAGCAGAGGGCAGAGAGTGAAGCTATTCCTAGTTTCTTTTAGGACATTTTTGACTATTAGTCAATAAGCAGTCTGATACTTGCTACAAACACAGACATCACCAAATCTGAGGTGAGCAGATTATGTTTGCGGGAGCAGGAAAGCATTGAGAAAAACTAAAGAATATGACAAGACAACAGCTATTTCTGCAGCAGTAGTAACACAGATGAGCTGAAAAGAAGAAATGCTACAACTTTGTGAGGTGGTAGTAATGGATGGCCGATTTCTAAAGTATGGGACATTTGTAAGTTATCCTTTTTAATGTTAACTTATTAGACTAATTACATTAACTTCTCAAAAATCCAGATGTGCAAACTTCACAGAAAAGGAAATTTATTCCAGTAAGTGTCTGGACACTGGAAGCTGTGACACTCATTGATCCTGATGATAAAAGCAGACAGGGTTCTGAAGGATTTCTGCGTTTTAAACTCTGCCTCCAACCTACTCTTTTCAAACAATACCTCTTAGATACCTGGTGTGAATTAGAGGACTGAAACATGTCAGATACAAGATGGACCACTGTGGGGATCACTGGTGCCCTAATGCGAAACAATTAAAAGGAAAACCTTTTGTCAACACCAAGAATCAGAGATAACATTAATTCTTGGTTTGTGCTGCAGAAAAAGAGACCCACATGAATCCCACTGAGGTGTGTAGCGAGAGTTGGAGAGTGTGAGAACAAGGGTGTCTCTGACAGCACAGAAATCTATATGCAACTCTGCACTTCACTGCTTTTTCCTGCACCATGCATAAACTGAATCATCCCTTTCACTCTCCACACAGACGTGATAGTGTGCGCTGGCTTTGGTAGACTCTTCAATCTCTCAGTCTGTGATCTCCTCTTAAAGCCCTCTAGAATTTCTCACCATATCAGCTTTACCATTCATGCACAGTTTCTGCTGTATTGAATATACAGTAAACTATACAGTAATGACACTCATGAATAAAAAATCTCAACTTTAAAGTTGATAGGAATATTCTTGATGTACCTCAAGTCCTCCACTTCAGTCCAACAATGTAACTGATGTTGTAATTGATAAAGAAATCTGTACATGTATTGTTAAACAGTAAAAAATACATATGGAATTAATTATATGAATTCATTCATAATGAACTGGGGACCGAAAGAGACTGATCAAGCAGTGTGATGTTCTGCCGGGAACTGGGAGTGAATTTGTAACAAGGAATGGACTGATTCATTCACACATGGTTGCAGTGCGGATAAGACTCCTTAAAATATCAAACTCTGCCAACGGGAAATTACAGAATTAGCTTAACATGTCATACAAAGCAATTGTGGAATTTTCCAGTTAAGATGAATATTTCCCAGAAAAAGAACATTTTACATTTAACCCTTCCTTGCAAAAGAGGAAATACCTTTATATTTAACTAAACAGGGAAGTTCCAAGCCCTCTGCCGGTTATTTCCTGTAAGAGAACTCCTTGTATATAGTAAACATATGACTATGAATATACATCACTGACTGCCAAAGACAGAACTTCTTCTAAGAGGGTGAGTAATATAAATAGCAGCGCTGCTGAAACAGGTGGTGCTGCCATTAACGTTTGCTATTCCAGTAGAATAGGACAGGTCAAGGCTTCGTATGCGTCCTGTTGCCTAGAAAAGTGTTGACTGATGAATATGACCTCTTGGCATGCCTGTCGTTTCAAAAAGCCACCTGTACACATGCACACACGGGTTGGCCTATGTCACGCCCCTGAATAAACCCAGGTCACATGTTTCCACATGTGGCCTTCAAACTGTGCTCAGCACTTACCCTGCCGTCCTGCAGACAACTCTACGTCCCTGAAGGACTCTCAGATGTGTAACGGAGCACAAGCCAAACGTGAGGGAGATCGTGTGTCGGGAGAAGCTTCAATAGAAGCACATTTGGACACCAGGGGAGGGAGCTGTGTGGGTAAAGACCCAGCCTGACTGTGTTCATTAATATATTACACTGATGAGTGCTATATGACCACACTTCCATGACAGAGCTAAAGCTTTAATTCAATCAACATCACAGGAGCTGTGAATGAATGTTAAAACCTCCTCGCCATTCCGATGTCTCAGTGAAATCAGAAGTTTTTCTGGGCCCTCCAAAACTGATTACCCACTTGTCAAAGTTACTCCATCAGCCACTTCCTATTCGTGTTGTTTGTTTGAGATCAGAGAAATATTTTTTTCTAATTCGTCTTTATAAAGCCTGGGACATATATTAAGGTTCAATTGCCCTACCAGGTGTGGCACAAACTTAAAGAAATACCTGTTCTTACCATTTAAACCCAGTCTACATCCAGTCCCCGGACCCAGCCAAAAATAATTAATGGCTCACTCATCCCTGAGTGAACCATACAGCATTAATTATGACCATATGCTATTCCAAAGACTTTTAATTGCCTAATTAAAATCCTATTAAACTATTGTACAAAGATAAGGGACTTTTTGAACTTAAGTTCCAGGACTGTTTAATTAACCAGGTTGCTTTTAATCTGGGGTTGTGGCACTAGGCCAAAAAAATGTAAATCTTATCACAAGTGCTAAATATCAAATTTGAGCAAACAGAAGCTAGGAATATAAACACAGATTAGTGTAATATTTGGCTGTGAAAGTGGCTGAGCATATTTCATCTTTTAAAACATACACAAGTCCTTAAATCAACCCTGCCTCTGAGGTTAAAATATATGAAATGATATTCAATTTCATTCAATTTGCCCTCTGTACAAATTTCCATAACAGATGTGGAGGCTGCAGAAGCAAGTCATTGATGAAATGTAAAGTCGAGGAGCTGCTAGGTCTGAAGCAATGCCTGCTATATCTATTAGGGGTGAATGAAAAAAAGCAGCTGGAGCTCGGTGACTGACAGACGTTTATTGATACTGAGAGGAGTAAAGACGAAGAGAAGCAAATGAAAGAAGAAAAACACCTATTCCTAGTGAAGGTGTTCAAATTCATATTAAAACTTGTTGAATAGACAGAAATGATCTTTGATTGACTAATTCCACCCAACGATGCTATGAGATCTTTGCTTATGTATGCAAGTCTTGTATTGGCTCTTCACTTCTGGGCAATATAAATACATCTTATGTCAAAACACTTCTGAATCTTAACCAGGCTTAAAATGACTAAAATTTCATCACTATCAAACCTCTTAAGCCCGAGGGACTGAGGAGAGGCAGGGAGAGGTTTGTACTTTTTCTTTCTGCACTCTTTTCAGCTTTTAAAAACCATTGTAAGATGATCCACTTTTAGGTAGGAGCCTGTACTGTTGATCTTTCTCGAATGGCCTATTTCTTTTCTACAATCTCCTTTACAGTAGTCACACCCTGTGCTGGGAAAGAAAACACCTAGGCTATGTCTTTTTTTCAGTTTTCTAATGATTAACCATAAACACCTGTATTATGTTCAGTCTCATTCTGTGCTACCTATTTATTCGATTTGAATATTCCAAATTTTGTCAGATGACAACATTTCTTTTAGTATAGGTTTTCACATACAATAGTTGTATGCTGACCGTAGCCATTTTTAAGTCCACTTTCTTATTCCAAATGATCCGTTTACGCTTTTATTTTTAAGATACAAAGACATAGGTCATATGTTCTCACTTAAGGGGACAACATAGTTCTCTGTAAGACACAGAATTAGTCCAAAAAGTGATGACTAAAAAGTAATTTCTTTACTTTGTCAATTGTTAATTTTAATGGTAAAAATAACTGACTTTAAGCATTATTCAACATTACATTTCTTGTCCTTTTCTATTGGGAATGTGTGGAATGGTTGTGGTGGAGATAAACAACATGTCTCTCTGTGCCCACATCGGTTTACTTCAGTTTTTTTTGTCATTCTCCAAAATAGTT